GCCATAAAAAATGTACGCCTCCACATGCCAAAGACATGCTGGGAGGTGAATTGGCTCCGGTCTAAATTGTCCCCAGTATGTGTATGTATGAATGTGAGTTAGGGACCTTAGATTGTACGCTCCTCGGGGGCGGGGCCTGATGTGAATGTACAATATATATGTAAAGTGCGGCGTACACTGACGGCGATATATAAGTACCTGAAATAATAATGGGGGGTTTTCAACACCGTGCAGTTCACTGCGATGCCATTTTTCTTCTCTACATTTCTTGTCATTGAATTGAATGGGCATGATGCACGGGAACGCAGGTATGACACATGGGAATGTAGCCATGACACATGGGACAGCAGGCATGATGCACAGGAACGCAGGCATGACACACAGGAACTCAGGCATGACAAACAGGAACACAGGTATGACACATGGGAACACAGGCATGACGTATGGGAACACAGGCATGACGCATGGCAACACAGGCATGACGCATGGCAACACAGGCATGACGCATGGCAACACTCGCATGAAGCACGGAAACGCAGGCATGACACATGGGAACACAGGCAGGACATATATGGGAATGAAGGCATGACGCATGGGAACACAGGCATGATGCACAGGAACGCAGGCATGACGCATGGGAACACAGGCATGACGCATGGGAACACAGACATGACCAGGGGCGGACTGACAACTCATGGGGTCCCCAGGCAATAGGAGATCATGGGGCCCCTGTGTCCTTGCCGAAACTCAAAAATCCCTATGAAAAAGGTACCAGAGGCATCTCATGGGGCCCCCTACTGACCCCGGGCCCTCGGGCAGAGCCCTAGTTTCCAAATGGTCAGTTCGCCCCTGGGCATGACACATGGGAACACAGGCATGACACACGGGAACACAGTCATGACGCACGGGAACACAGGCATGACACATGGGAACACAGGCATGACACATGGGAACACAGGCATGATGCACGGAACACAGGCATGACCAGGTGCGGACTCACAACTCATGGGGCCCCCGGGCAATAGGAGATCATGGGGCCCCTGTGTCCTTGCCCAAACTCAAAAAAGCCTATGAAAAAGGTACCAGGGGCATCTCATGGAGCCCCCTACTGACCTCGGGCCCTTGGGCAGTGCCTGAGTTTCCAAATGGTCAGTCCGCCCCTGGGCATGACACATGGGAACACAGGCATGACGCATGGGAACACAGGCATGACGCACGGGAACGCAGGCATGACACATGGGAATGCAGGCATGACACACGGGAATGCAGGCATGACGCACGGGAACGCAGGCATGACACACGGGAATGCAGGCATGACACACGGGAACGCAGGCATGACACACGGGAACGCAGGCATGACACACGGGAACTCAGGCGCGCTCAGTCACACCGGCATTGTGGGAAATCCGGGCTCGCAATACAGACAAGTCGGCTTCAGTCGCGGCGCCCTACAGAGGAAGGAGTTTAATATGAACAAACGCATGCAACCCCCCCCCCCCCCCGCGTGTCAATATAACACCGACATACGCTGTAGCGACTTCCAATCAAAGAGTTGCATTTGAAGGTGACAGTGCGCTCAGCCAAAACATAACCAATCACGGCAGATGAGTGAAGAGGCAGATGAAAACAAAACCCGTGTGATCGGCGGCGGCGGCGCGGGAGGACGCTAACTCGGCTCGGCGTCTCCAGAACGCGGCAAAGATGTGAACAGATGTAAATCTTCAAAGAGAACAGATGAAGCCGAGTCGGCGCGCACCTCAGCAGGCCATTGTATAATAGATCTGAGGCGGCCGGGGCTTCTGGGTAATATGCAGATGAGGAGCTCCGCGGAAAACGTGCAATAATTAACAAGCGGCGCAGCGGGGGTCATTCGCACTGCGATTAGTGGCTGAGATGCGCTGCCCCCCGTTCATACATGTTACAGGAAAATGTTCTCCATTGACGGTCACTGGCGGAGTCGGTGAGATGCCAAAAACCAAAGCAATAATTCCCCCCCAACCAATCAAGTGAAATGCTCAATCGGATTCAGGTCAGGTGATTGGCCATTGCAGAACATTCCACTTCTTTGGTGTCTTTTGCAGTCTGCTTTGGGTCATTGTCCATCTGCACTGTGAAGCGTCCAATGAGTTGTGAAGCATTTGGCTGAATATGAGCCGATAATATTCCCGAAACACTTCACAATTCATCCGGCTGCTTCTGTCAGCAGTCACATCATCAATAAATACAAGAGAAGCAGTTCCATTGGCAGCCATACATGCCCACGCCATGACACTACCACCACCATGATCACTGATGAGGTGGTATGCTGAGGACCATGAGCAGTTCCTTCTCCATACTCTTCTCTTCCCATCACTCTGGTACAAGTTGATGTCGGTCTCATCTGTCCATAGGATGTTGTTCCAGAACTGTGAAGGCTTTTTTACATGTCGTTTGGCAAACTCTAATCTGGCCTTCCTGTTTTTGAGGCTCACCAATGGTTTCCATCTTGTGGTGAACCCTCTGTATTCACTCTGGTGAAGTCTTCTCTTGATTGGTGACTTTGACACACATACACCTACCTCCTGGAGAGTGTTCTTGATCTGGCCAACTGTTGTGAAGGGTGTTTTCTTCACCAGGGAAAGATTCTTCGCTCATCCACCACAGTTGTTTTCCGTGGTCTTCCGGGTCTTTTGGTGTTGCTGAGCTCACCGGTGCGTTCCTTCTTTTTAAGAATGTTCCAAACAGTTGTTTTGGCCACGCCTAATGTTTTTGCTATCTCTCTGATGGGTTTGTTTTGTTTTTTCAGCCTAATGATGGCTTCACTGATAGTGACAGCTCTTTGGATCTCATCTTGAGAGTTGACAGCAACAGATTCCAAATGCAAATAGCACACTTGAAATGAACTCTGGACCTTTTATCTGCTCATTGTAATTGGGATAATGAGGGAATAACACACACCTGGCCATGGAACAGCTGAGAAGCCAATTGTCCCATTACTTTTGGTCCCTTAACAAGTGGGAGGCACATATGCAAACTGTTGTAATTCCTACACCGTTCACCTGATTTGGATGTAAATACCCTCAAATTAAAGCTGACAGTCTGCAGTTAAAACACATCTTGTTCGTTTCATTTTAAATCCATTGTGGTGGTGTATAGAGCCAAAAATGTTAGAATTGTGTCCATGTCCCAATATTTATGGACCTGACTGTATACAGGGGGAAAGTCGTTGCTCCGGCGGATATGGCAAGCGGGGAAAGTCACTCCTATGGTGGATGTGGCGAGTGGTGAAAGTCGCTCTTATGGCGGATGTGGCGAGCGGTGAAAGTCGCTCCTATGGCGGATGTGGCGAGTGGGGAAAATCGCTCCTACGGCGGAAGTGGCGAGCTGTGAAAGTCGCTCCTACGACGGATGTGGCAAGCGGTGAAAGTCGCTCCTACGGCGGAAGTGGCGAGCGGGGAAAGTCGCTCCTATGGCGGATGTGGCAAGCGGGGAAAGTTACTCCTCCGGCGGATGTGGCAAGCGGGGAAAGTCGCTCCTATGGCAGATGTGGCGAGCGGGGAAAGTCGCTCCTCCGGCGGATGTGGCGAGCGGGGAAAGTCGCTCCTCCGGCGGATGTGGCGAGCGGGGAAAGTCGCTCCTCCGGCGGATGTGGCGAGCGGTGAAAGTCACTCCTATGGCAGATGTGGCGAGTGGGGAAAGTCGCTCCTATGGCGGATGTGGCGAGCAGGGAAAGTCGCTCCTCCGGCGGATGTGGTGAGCGGTGAAAGTCGCTCCTATGGCAGAGGTGGCGAGCGGTGAAAGACGCTCCTCCGGTGGATGTGGCGAGCGGTGAAAGACGCTCCTCCGGTGGATGTGGCGAGCGGGAAAGTCGCTCCTCCGGCGGATGTGGTGAGCGGTGAAAGTCGCTCCTATGGCAGAGGTGGCGAGCGGTGAAAGACGCTGCTCCGGTGGATGTGGCGAGCGGTGAAAGACGCTCCTCCGGTGGATGTGGCGAGCGGGGAAAGTCACTCCTCCGGCGGATGTGGTGAGCGGTGAAAGTCGCTCCTATGGCAGAGGTGGCGAGCGGTGAAAGACGCTCCTCCGGTGGATGTGGCGAGCGGTGAAAGACGCTCCTCCGGTGGATGTGGCGAGCAGGGAAAGTCGCTCCTCCAGCTGAATGTTCGCATGTTCGCAGGACAGAAGCAGGCGACTCCTAAATCTTTAATTCTATGTCATTTGGGGGTTTTCAGGCTAAAATAAGAGGCTTCTCGCTGTGGTTTTTTTTTTTTTTTTTCCCCTCGCCTCCATCCGGCCTGTGATTGGACGGAGGATGAAATGCGGCGGTGACATCCCTGCGGTCCCCCTGGCTGCTCAGCACCGGCCAAAACACAAACAGCTGACAATCTAGAGGGGCGCGGCGGCGGCGGTAGCATTTCGCGAGTGCAGCCCGACCGGCTCATTAATAAAGCCGCCTTCCATGCGTCACGCATACGTTGTGATTTCAGGTCCGCCCTAATGAACGCTCCGGATTTGAATGATGGTCCAGAGGTGGCGGAAGGATCCGCTTCCAGCGGGAAGGAGACAGATATTAAGAATCGCACGGCAGCCAATTAGACATGAAATTTGATGCGCTTGTATTCCCCTCCCCCCTCATCAACATACTTATGAGAGTTTTCAGTATATGTCCCAGTGACATCATCATGGGGTCTCTGTGCTTCTCTATGCAATGCAGGCAGATCATGGCTGGTGGGAGGGGATGGCAGTGGGTGGTACATAGCTTCCTGAAAACATCCCAGCCCCCCTGCCTCAGTACTCCTCCCAAGAGCCCTCAGCCCTGATGCAAGCAGGGGGAGGATATTAATGTGCCTTGATGGGTGAGAGGCAGTCTGGAGGAGTGGGCGTTCCTAGGCAGGCTGTATTTGCATAGGAAAGGGAGGAGCCGGTACAGCTGAGCAAGACTGAAGGGGAGGAGCAGGTACACCTGTGCAACACTGAAGGGGAGGAGCCGGTACACCTGTGCAAGACTGAAGGGGAGGAGCCGGTACACCTGTGCATGACTGGAGGGGAGGAGCCGGTACACCTGTGCAAGACTGGAGGGGAGGAGCCGGTACACCTGTGCAAGACTGAAGGGGAGGAGCCAATATACCTGTGCAACACTGAAGGGGAGGAGCCGGTACACCTGTGCAAGACTGAAGGGGAGGAGCCGGTACACCTGTGCAAGACTGGAGGGGAGGAGCCGGTACACCTGTGCAAGACTGAAGGGGAGGAGCCGGTACACCTGTGCAAGATTGGGGGGGAGGAGTCGGTACACCTGTGCAAAACTGAAGGGGAGGAGCCGGTACACCTGTGCAAGACTGGGGGGAGGAGCCGGTACACCTGTGCAAGACTGAAGGGGAGGAGCCGGTACACCTGTGCAAGACTGAAGGGGAGGAGCCGGTACACCTGTGCAAGATTGGGGGGAGGAGCCGGTACACCTGTGCAAAACTGAAGGGGAGGAGCCGGTACACCTGTGCAAGACTGGGGGGGAGGAGCCGGTACACCTGTGCAAGACTGAAGGGGAGGCCAGAGGGAGGATTTAAGTGATAACTCCGGGGAAAAAAATATTCGGTCATTTCTAGGCCTAGCTAGGAGACATTATGGTGACATGGCTTCCAATTAACAGATCTCAAGCTCCTCCTACCAGAAGATCCCCATCACAAACCTCCTGCTTGTCAGACTCCAAATCTTATTTTTTAGACTGATAAAGCGATACTGTATATGGCAATGTAAAACAATTTAAAATGTATCAATCTATAAAATGTATCAATGTATAAAACGTATCAATGTATAAAACGTATCAATGTATAAAATGTATCAATGTATAAAATGTAACAACGTATAAAATGTATCAATGTATAAAATGTATCAACGTGTAAAATGTAACAACGTATAAAATGTAACAACGTATAAAATGTATCAATGTGTAAAATGTATCAATGTATAAAATGTATCAATGTGTAAAATGTAACAACGTATAAAATGTATCAACGTATAAAAATGTATCAACGTATAAAATGTAACAACGTATAAAATGTATCAATGTGTAAAATGTAACAACGTATAAAATGTATCAATGTGTAAAATGTAACAACGTATAAAATGTATCAATGTGTAAAATGTAACAACGTATAAAATGTATCAATGTGTAAAATGTATCAACGTATAAAATGTAACAACGTATAAAATGTATCAATGTGTAAAATGTAACAATGTATAAAATGTATCAATGTGTAAAATGTAACAATGTGTAAAATGTATCAATGTATACAATGTTTCATTTCGATGGCTCGCCCTTATTTCAGTATCAGAAACGCGTTGCAGATTATTGCATTCATCAAATGGCGCAACATCTTCGGCAATCGTCTCTTCGCTGTGACCCCACCCCCATTATCCAGGTTGCGCAGGTCCCCACTGATGATGGATTGGCGGTCCCCGGCCCGTGGAGGGACTCGGCTTCTGGTCAGATCATCCAGGATCTTATTATAAAGTCCCGCAGGGTAGCGCCTTGTCCCGTCGGCGGCGGCGGCGCCTCTGGAGATGGATGTTCCCGGCTCTCCCCGTCCCGCGCAGGAAAAGCTTTAATCCCGCAGATAGTAATGAAGGAGATCGCAATCACCCCGCCGGGCCAATATTTCCCTCCTGATTAATGACGGATCGCGGCAAACAGGCAGCTGGGAGAGCGACGGCGAACATAACAAATGGCCCAACATCGCGCTGGAACGCGCGGCCATTTATTCATCGCCTAATGAAGTCGTGTTAGGAGGAGGAAAAAAAAAGTCAGGTTTAAAGAGAACCTGTCAGTAGGAGACATATTGAGGTTTTTAGGGTTTTTTTTGCAATAAAACGGCGATTTAGGGACCTTCACGCCACCGCGTTTTGAGTGCGCGCAACGCAGAGTCACAGCGTGATTAACCACTTGCTGTCCAGGGCAATTTTTAAAATTTTTCATTGTTACAATCAAAATTTTTTTCGCTAGAAAATGACTTCAAACCCCCAAACATTATAGATGTTCTGAGAACAAAATGGCGGTCGTTCCAATTTTTTTTAAAATCTTTTTTTTTTTAACAGATCCGCTAAAAAATAATTTTTTTGGAAAACTATATAATACCCAGTTTTTTTTGTATAATTTTGTTGAGTAAATAGATACCAAACGTGTCAAGATTTAAAATGGCGTGCACGCCCGCGACAAACAACGGCAGCTAAAATGGGAGACGCTTCACAAGCCTTTACAGGTGACCAGTGTAGAGTTCATTGTGAACGACGGCCTTAGAATGATGTCTCTCGCTCCGACGTTCGCGGCGATACCTCACATGTGTGGTGCAGTCGCTGTTTTCACGTATGTGCGTCAGACCTACGTGCACTGGAGTGTATGCTTCGGGGGAGGGGGGGGTTCTTGCTTTTTAATTATTTTTATTTTATTTACAATTTTTTTTTTTCACTTAACTTTTTTGCTATCACAAAGGGGCTAACAAGCTTTGGCCAGTGACAGGTACTCTTTATAGAGATATCAGGGGTCTAGTAGACCCGCATTCACAAAATGTTCAAGTGTGAATGCTGCTTGAATGACAATGCAAGTGCAACAATGAATGGAAATCACATGCTTTTACACATGGGGGTCTATTAATCTGTGATCATCAGGGGTCTATGACCCTATAACTATATTAGGGATCTATGACCCTATAACCATCAGGGGTCTATGACCCTATGAACATCAGGGATCTATGATCATCAGGGGTCTATGACCCTATGAACATCAGGGATCTATGATCATCAGGGGTCTATGACCCTATGAACATCAGGGATCTATGATCATCAGGGGTCTATGACCCTATGAACATCAGGGATCTATGACCATCAGGGGTCTATTACCTTATGAGCATCAGGGGTCTATTACCCTATGAACATCCGGGGTCTATGACCCTATGAACATCAGGGTTTTATGACCCTATCACCATCAGGGGATTATTACCCTATTATCATCAGGGGTCTATGACCCTATGACCATCAGGGGTCTATAACCCTATGACCATCAAGGATCTATGACCATCAGGGGTCTATGACCCTATGACCATCAGGGGTCTATGACCCTATGGCCATCAGGGGACTATTACACTATGGCCATCAGGGGACTATTACACTATCAGGGGTTTAGGACTATCACCATTAGAGGTCTTTGACCCTATGATCATCAGGGGACTATTATCATACCGTATGACCATCAGGGGTCTATGCTAATCAGGGATCTTTGACCCTATGACCATCAGGGGTCTATAACCTTATGAAGTTCAGGGGTCTATGACTCTATGACAATAAGGGGTCTATGACCCTATGACCATCAAGGGCTGTGACTCTATGACCATCAGTGGTCTAATATCCTATGACCATCAGGGGTCTAATACTCTGTGACCATTAGGGGTCTATGACTCTAGGACAATAAGGGGTCTATGACTCTATGACCATCAGGAATCTATGATTATATGACCATCAGGGGGTCTATGACCCTATGACTATCAGGGGTCTATGACAATCAGGGGTCTATGACCCTATGACCATCAGGGGTCTATGACTAAGGCAATCAGGGGTCTATGACCCTATAACCATCAGGGGCCTATGACCCTATGACCATCAGGGGTCTATGACAATCAGGGGTCTATGACAATCAGGGGTCTATGACTCTATGACAATCAGGGGTCTATGACCTCTCCTCTCCCCCAAAGCAGTTAACCAAGCACAGATAGATAAAAGCTGATCATTGTCAGCACCCCTGCCGGTGGTGAATGGTTTGTCCCATCCCTGTAACTGATACATCTGCAGGACAGCTTGTTCAACAGACTTACTGTCTGGATCCCCAGGTGAAAATAAAAGGAAGAAACCTAAAAAAAGGAATGCAGCCGCCCCTCTAAGAATCGGTAAGCTGTGATGTCACAAATGTTTGTTTGGGGTGAATTATCGCATTATTGGGAACGCTCTTTATACACATATTTGTCTCTGCGGCCCGATAAATCCGCGTTTTCCAGAACCGCCATTGTTCTCCGAATTGCTGAGGAATCCCAAGGAAAGCCGCCATTTGTCTTCTTGTCAGGAACTCCGAACCCCCCCGACCCCCCCCCCCCCCCCCCCCCCGGGATGTGACAACGCGCTCTGCTCCGAATTAGGAGACCACAAGAGTCTCTTCTGCTCATCAAACACGTCCACCCGCCAGGGAGGGGGATGGGACCAGTCTGCGCCAAACTCACTGCAAAACCCCAAATTCTTCAGGAACCAATTAGAACGATTGAAGAGCAGAAATCCCCCACCAATCGGGACGTCCATGCTGCGCTGATACTGAGATCATCTCTGTCCACAATGCTCAGTCCCACTTCTCCTGTCCTGGATGCCGGGTGTCATTCTCGGTATCTCCTGTCCCAGATGCCGGGTGTCATTCTCGGTATCTCCTGTCCTGGATGCTGGGTGTCATTCTTGGTATCTCCTGTCCCGGATGCCGGGTGTCATCCTCGGTATCTCCTGTCCTGGATGCCGGGTGTCATCCTCGGTATCTCCTGTCCTGGATGCCGGGTGTCATCCGCGGTATCTCCTGTCCTGGATGCCGGGTGTCATTCTCAGTATCTCCTGTCCTGGATGCCGGGTGTCATTCTCGGTATCTGTCCTCATTCTGTATGTATGTACTCGACTCTGCACAGTCCCACCTCTCCTGTCCCGGATGCCGGGAGTCATTCTCGGTATCTCCTGTCCCTCATGCCGGGTGTCATTCTCGGCATCTCCTGTCCCGGATGTTGGGTGTCATTCTTGGTATCTCCTGTGCCCGATGCCGGGTGCCATTCTTGGTATCTCCTGTCCCAGATGCCGGGTGTCATTCTTGGTATCTCCTGTCCTGGATGCTGGGTGTCATTCTCGGTATCTCCTGTCCCAGATGCCGGGTGTCATTCTTGGTATCTCCTGTCCTGGATGCCGGGTGTCATCCGCGGTATCTCCTGTCCTGGATGCCGCGTGTCATTCTCGGTATCTCCTGTCCCGGATGCCGGGTGTCATTCTCGGTATCTCCTGTCCTGGATGCCGGGTGTCATCCGCGGTATCTCCTGTCCTGGATGCCGCGTGTCATTCTCGGTATCTCCTGTCCTGGATGCCGGGTGTCATCCGCGGTATCTCCTGTCCCGGATGCCGGGTGTCATCCTCGGTATCTCCTGTCCTGGATGCTGGGTGTCATTCTCGGTATCTCCTGTCCCAGATGCCGGGTGTCATTCTTGGTATCTCCTGTCCTGGATGCCGGGTGTCATCCGCGGTATCTCCTGTCCTGGATGCCGCGTGTCATTCTCGGTATCTCCTGTCCCGGATGCCGGGTGTCATTCTCGGTATCTCCTGTCCTGGATGCCGGGTGTCATTCTCGGTATGTGTTGCGGGGGGAGTCAGGCTCGGGTCGCGCTGAGTGATGGGTCATTACGGGACTCCTAGACAGATGTGCAGGTAGAGCGCCGGGCCGCGCCCTCTGACACCAGACTCTCTG